ATCCTCACCTGGATCAGAAGCTGAGGAGAAGGGTAGGCAGACACGATAGCCTCAGCCATCTCAGAGCTGACACGGTTAAATTGCTGTATTTGCCTCTTCCAAACTTTCAAGAGACCCTTTCCAGAAGGATCCACCTTCACTCCTCCAGAACAGCTCTTCTCCAAGTAGAAAGAGAACCCTGTGTTGTCTCGCTCTCGCCTAGGGAGAACAAGGAATGAGGAAGCAAATGAGACAATGAGGCTGTGAAGAAAATCCTGTCCCTGCCATCTGTTGTCACAGAGCCAGAGCGCCATCCCTCACTTGAGCTGTCAGACACAACTGGCATCAAAGGAAACATGAACAATTTGACCCTGTTTTCTTCACATGCATTACCAATTTCTTTAAGACCCAGATTGGTACTGAAAAAGAAATAACCCTGTACTCAAGCAGCAATCCTGACACAAGCCAACTTGCAGACAAAGTGGTAAACAAGAATTCACCTTCTGGCTGTCAACCATAATCAAACACTTTTAGATGTCATTTTTAATGACATCTTGTCATGGCTGACATGAAAATCCAACAGCTGCTGTGATAGGAATGCCAGGATTGCGTGAGACTGCCCTAGATGGCTTTCTTAGCTATCACTGCAACAAGCTGCTGTCTTCCCTTACCAGTGGAAAGAGCCAAGTGGTTCATTCTCTGGCATGTCTCTTGGTTACATACTGAAGAAGAAAAGCTGGGACTCTAAGAGCCAACCCTACTCACATTCCCTTCCCACTCCAAAAATCTGACTCACAACAAGAGCTCTACTTGATGTCAAGGCTCCAGTGTGAAACCTGAGGATGGTGAGGCACTGGAACAAACTGCCCAAAGAAGTTGTGGATATCCTATCCCTGGAAGTGTTCAGTGCCAGGTTGGATGGAACACTAAGCAACCTGGTCTAGTGGAAGGTGTCCCTGCCCATGGCAGGGGGTTGGATTAGACCATCTTTAAGGTCCCTTCCAACCTAAACCAGCCTGTGACTATGAAACCAGCGTCTGTTCTGACCCCTCTGTGGGTAGGACATCAATTTCAAGAATAAGTCCTGTGTTAAAGGAGCTGCAATAGCAGCTGCTCTGTCACCTGCACGTTTAAGAACCACTACACCCTGTGTTGTACCTGCTTTTACTTCCCAGTAGCTTGAAGTGCAGCCTCTCCAAAGGTAGGACCAAACCTCTGCTTACTCACTTGTACGGTGCCTCAGCCACAGCTTTTGTGAACATAGTGGCATATTCCCCAAGCTCTTCACTGCTCTCAAAAATGCTGATTTGGACTTGTGTGCTCAGCTGCAGATCCACCAGGGCCTGTATCACCATTGGGAACAACAAATGGCACAATCAGTTTTGTTGCATCAAATTCCATTTTTGTCTGAAGCACAAAAGGGTCACAAATGTCCTGCTGTAGGACAAGAACCATCACTCTCTCTTCATTTTGGGAACAGTTAACTTAAGACACTGAAGTATTCAGGGGCAGTCTGTCTCCTGACAGTTAATATCACCGTGGTGTCCTCTGAGCTGCCTGAGCTCCTCTGTGGCTCTTGTTACAAACAGGCCACCACCAGTGGGCTTTGCCAATGGGCCATGACGGGCAAGAGGTGCTGAGACTGCATGTGAATGAGACACATCAGTCTGTGCGGGAGCAGGTACATGACAGAACAGTGGGGAGCTGAACCCAAGAGTTCTGTCCACAGACTGATGGACTAATGAATAACGAAAGATCTGTATTCCCATCCACAAAATTGCGTGACTGGGTCAAATGTGCAAATACTGGGAGGCAACAGATGATGGCTGCATGTCTGTTTTAAAAGTACTCACTTCTTTCACATCCATTCTGGATAAGTCCAGTCCAGAATCCTTAACCTCCTTTTTTCTCCTTTCTCCCCGTTTCTCTTGATTCCCACTTGCTGCTGTCTGTCGCAGCCTTTGTTTTGGCTGAACTTGGAGAGACCTAAAAAGAGTAAAGTAAGACTGGGGTGACAGTCTGGATGGACCTCTGCTTCTGTTTCTGTATTAAAAGTGGTGGAACAGTTCTGGGAATACCTCTCATACTCCAGTCTTTGCTAGAAGGAATTAACATAAAGACCTATGGCATTTTTCAAGGCCATAGAAAACACAGAAACATTTGGAGGGAAGAAGTCTGACCTGAAGTAATTTTCTACTCCAAGTACTGCCAGCGCCAGAATTCTCCCAGGCATTTTCTCCATCACATGAGCTACATAGCTCTGCAGGGTCTCCTGCCTTTCTGCACAGCCGTCAGTATTCTACAAAGATGAATGGGGAAAAATAAGGAGTTAAACCATTTTGAGGTACACAGAGAAGCACAGCAAATTATGGCCCCGGTTGTAGGTCTGCAGATGAGTCTGTTCACCCTTGCTCGTCAGGGCAAGCAGGCAATACTTGATCCCAAGCGAAGTTAGAGCAGAAAAAATAAAAATAAACCCACTTGATGCAACAGTGTAGCTCTTCAGGAATGTGTGAAGAATTTTAACTAGCGAAGAAAGCTTGCCAGAACTTAACATTATACAACCCGTTAATGGCTCCTAAACCCAGATTTCTGTTTTAGTGAAACCCTGCATTCCTCCCACACCAAAACCTTCCTGCCACTAAGAGAGATGACAAAACACTGGTTTTGCATCAAGGCATATTCAGGAGCACAAAAGTCATAAGCATTCTCACTTGCTTGTAGCTGCGAGCCATGGACAAAAACTCCTTCAAGCCAAGCAGAACAAGGATATTTGGTTCTTCTGTCCATTCATCTCCTCCTCCCATCTGTTCAGATATGAAAACAAACAGGCCACAGTCTATTTCGAATTCACTCAGACTCCCACTCAGAGCTCTGAGCAGGGAGATTAGAGGGTGTTTACTTGGGTTGCTAAATACAATTATTAACGACTGCAAATAACACATGAAGAAAAGGGCAAGATTATAAAAATTTTGCTCACATACCTGTGATGACACTGTCTTTCTCCTCCAGGTGATGCTGCAAGGAACAGCTTGGTTCTCAAACACACAGGAATAATTGGCAGCCTGCAAAGCACTAAGGATCTGCTCTCCACCTTCTACCTGTAAGATGACTGAAATCGATGCACGGGTCAGGCCTCCAGAGAGAGGAGACAACAGTCAGTACAAGGCAGGTGCAGGCTGGGAGGACAACTACCTGGATCTAGCACCACTGTTATATATTTCTGGCACTCTCCTGGCCGCTGAGCTCTCAGCATCTTGGCAACGGCTCTCTTCCTCTCTTTCTCCTCCTCCTGCTCCCTCCTCTTTGCTTCTTGCTCCTTCCTTCTCTGCCCCGCATTCTGGCAGATTACCTTCCGTTCCTTCTGACTATATTGTCGCTTCTTGAGAGGGAGGGATGTTTCTGGCCTTTCTCTGCTTACCGGGGGGCTACTAGGTATTGGTTCACTAGGCCTGTCGGAGTCGACTGGCGAGGAGCACAAGGAGGATCTTTCAGCACTGCGTGTACCATTCTCACGGTCGCGAGCCATTTCTCCAGACGGCGCCAGGTCTTCCTGCAGCCCTTCGCTCCCAGGAGCCATCAGGTCACCACTAGCACAAAGCCCAGATGCCTCTCCTGTATCGCCAGTGCCCAGGCTGAAAGGCTCAGGCTCCGCTCCCACCCTCATCTCGACCCTCTCATGCAAAGGCACGACGTCCATCTCCTCCTCATCATCATCCATCTCTTCGCTCCCGCTGCTCACCATCTTGACAACCTCTGCCGCTTTAGGATCAGGAGATGGCGGTCGCGGGCGGCCCGGCTCGTCGAGGCATGGGGACGGCTGCAGCAGGTAGGCGAAGGAGGGCAGGTTCTCCTCCTCGCTGCTCTCAGATCCCGACTCGCTCTCCGCCATCCCCACGGCTCCTCAGGGACACCCGCACCCGCGTCCGCCTGAGGGGAAAGCCCGCGCCGGCCGCTGGTTGGCCCGGAGCCGCGTGCAGTGGGCGGGGATTGGTCCGAACACTCGCGGGTGCCACGCTCGGACCAATCGCTGCCCAGCGCGCGCGCGTGCGCGTGGCCTTCCCAGCCGAAGGACGACGGGGAGGCGGTGTCGTCAAGATGGCGGCGCTGGGGCGGCAGTGTGAGTGAGGGCCTATGTCAGCTCATTACCCTCTGAGGGATAGGGAGCGGGGCTCTGGCCGTGGAGTGGGAGGGATGAGCTCGGGAGAAGGTGCCACACGGAGGTCACCCCGCGGTGGGACGTTCCCCGGTGGGACATCACAGCCGGTAGCGCGAGGCCGAGGCTTTCGCCTTTGCCTGGAGCTGAGGCGGAGCTGTGGTGATGTGGTTTACGTATGTGAAACTGTAACTGTAGTTCGTCTCTGTTTAATTTCCTGCAAATTGTCAAGTCTCGGAAGCTTTAATTTACTTAATGGGTCATCTCCTGAAATTAATGGGGTTTTGTATCCTTTCCTCAACAGAATTTCATAGAATTATGGACAGGTTTGGGTTGGAAGGAATCTTAAAGATCATCTTGTTCCAATTCTCTGCCGTGGGCAGAGATGCCTTCCATTAGACCAGACTGCAGTAAGCCCCATCCAACCTGTGCTTGAACACTTCCAGTGATGGGACACATTTCCAGCTCACTGAGTATCCGTGATGATTTAATTAAATTAAACGAGTGGTTTTCCTCACGTTAAGGAAATGAGATAACCACTGTTCTGTACTAACCTGCTGCTTAACAGGCTAAATAGAGGGATTCAGAAAAATGAGGTTTGTCTCCTAACTGCATGAAAGGTGGTACTGCAGAGATTTTTAAGATAATGATGACTTGGGTTGGGAGGGAATTTAAAGATCACCTATGTCCTACCCCATGCCATGGGCAGGGACACCTTTCACTACACCAGGTTGCTCCAAGCCCTGTTCAACCTATCCTTGAACACTTCCCTTAAACTTGGAAGATTAATGAAAAAACTGTGCTCCAGACTCCCTTTTTTGCCACTCCCAGAGCTCTGTATTCCTTCTTCGAGCCTTTAATCATAGAATCACAGAATCATTAAGGTTGGAAAAGACCTCCAATACCAGCAACTCCAGCCTTTATGCTCCTTCTGGATACTCCTCAGACTATTTCTGGCTGATCATAGATGTTTATATATTTTCCGGAATTGGAGTGTGCTCATTTGTAAGATTTCAGGATGTAACTGTGTAAGTAAATGCCATTTGGTCAAAGGGGAAACTGAAACAAATCACAACCCATCTTTTCCTCAAAGCACTATAAGAGCAATGTGACATCTGTGCTGCATTTTACAAAAACGAAACAGGAATTTGTGGAGATCATTTAACATTGTTGCTGAGAGCTTTATTCTACCTGGGTAGCAGCAGCACTTGGAGACGTGGCCTTTTTTCAAGGAACTTAGGCCATTTTGGTCTAATTTATCTTGGAAGTTACTTTTTGTTTCTCCCAGGGCCTTCATTTGCCTTTAATTTTAAAGCCTATCTTAACTGATATCCTTTACATCTGAGAGAAAGAGTTATGTATGATAGTTTTTCCAGCTGATGATGTTGTTCTTTCTCCTAATCTAGTTTTAACCACTTGCCATACAAGCCTGGTTGCTGTCAGATGGGCTTCTAAGAAAAGTGGGGGCAGCTCGAAAAACCTCGGTGGCCGCAGCCCTGGGAAACGCCATGGGTTCAAAAAAGTCGAAGGTAGATCTGAGTATCTTATTTGCATTTCACTGGGTTCTTCACAGCTTCTCTCCCCTGATTTATGTCAGTCGAGTGTTTCAGGAGGAGGTGGGCAGGGCACTTTTCCAGGAGAAAGAGAAGGGGAGGATCAGTGAAGCCTCATGATCCAGGGTCGTTGGTGGGCGTGCAGGGTGAGTCAGCTCCCCCCACCACGAGCCTGCCAGCCACCAGCGAAAATTGCCTACAGAAATTGTACTTTGGTTCTAACTTTGCCTCTCCAGAGAGCCCGGGAGGCGAGAACACTGTGGGACACCTCATAACTGCACTGCACTTTCCCCCCATGCTGGGTGGAAAAACTGAGCATTTCCAGTGTTGACAAAGGAGAATTATGAGGCTTAGCAGAAGCCAAAGTGCAGATTCTTGCAGTTGAGTGCTTAATAATTATTAGCTTTGCTGATGGAAACATAGCAATGTAAATGTAATAAAACAAATGCCTTCAGCAGCCAGAAAATGCCTTGTACTCTAAAAGTCAAATCTCTGAAAAGATTGCTTCTTGACATGGTCTATTCATTGTCTTTTATTTCCTGCTAACAGCATTTTTGTTCAGATGCTTTTAGCATTTGAAGTAATTTTTCCTTAGAAAATGCCTACAGAAATATGAGATTTGTAAGTCCTGGAATGATTTGTGTTCTGCCAGGCTCTGGGGAGCTGTTTCTCTGCAGTCTGACTGTGTCACTTTGTTGCAGGTGCATTTGTCCACGCAGGAAACATTTTGGCTACGCAGCGATTGATCCGCTGGCATCCCGGTGCTCACGTAAGGCCTTTTCTCTCTCTTTGGTTCCCAGAGAACAGCAGTCTCTCCCAGAGATCCACACTCACTGCCTCCTCTCTTTGTCTCATTCTTAATGCTCATCCCTGTGTTCTGTGGTGTTAGTCACAGAGCCTGCTCAGAGCAGCACCTGTGTTCTTGGGGCTCAGGGAAGGCCTGCAAGTAATGCATATCCCAGAACACTTCTGTGACCTGACAGGGCACTTGTGCTTCAGGCTGGAATGGGTGTCTCAAACTGAGCACCATTGCAAACTGGTTGCTGGAAGCAAGTTGTGTGGCTTCATTTTAAAAAAATAAAGCAACAGATGCTGTTGAAGCCAGGATATCAAACAAGGCAGACCAAAGAGCAGATCTGCTTTAGTTGTGGATGTCCAGCCTCTCCTTTCTAATGCTCCTCATCCTCTGCCAGGTGGGGATGGGCCGTAACAAGACACTCTATGCCCTGGAGGATGGGATTGTGAGATACACCAAAGAGGTCTACGTGCCCCCACCCCGCAGCAGCGAGAGCAGGGATGTGATCTGCCAGCTGCCCAAAGGAGCAGTCCTTTATAAAACTTTTATCAGTGTCGTCCCTACCACAGAAGTAGGAAGCTTCAAACTCGTCACCATGCTGTGAACCTGCTGTGTCATGTGGGCACAGATGGAAAGGACAGACCACTACAGCTATACTGGCATCTGAGGACAAGAGTGGCTCTGAAGATACCATTTTAGGACTTGGTTTTGCTCCTGAAGCGCTTATGATCTGTGTTCAGAAACTGAGATGACCTGCTGGCATTTTAAAGAGTGTTTAATAAACGCTGTAGGGCAGCTGAGGGTCTTGGCTGCTCATGGAATGTGTTACCATGGTCATTTAGTATCTGGAGAGCTTGGTCTGTTGTGCCACTGGATTCATTCCCTCTACAATCACTCTTGTGATTGTACTTGTCCTGCTAATAATTCCTTCTATTTTTGCTCATTTTTAGTAATTACTGTTCTATTTATACCTTAATTACTGTTCTATTTATACCTTAATTAACAATACTCCAGAACAGATCCTTTTCCACATGCACCTAATGCTGTGTACCCGGAAGCTGGATTTTTCCCTCTGCCTTACCTCAATGATTAACATAAATATCTGAGTGTTCCATTCAGTGGCCAAGTGAGGCAAGTTCACAGGCCTAACTCTAGCTCATTAAGTTCAGGGGGCCTGGCGAGATGCCCAAATCTGGGCTGGTATTTGAAGCTCAACAGCTGGAGGTGTATGATAAAGAATTATCCAGGATACTCATCCTTTATCTTTGAGTCATTACATGACATTTTTGAGCTTGTATTGCTCAAAATAAAGGAGCCAAATGCATTGTGCCCAAACTGATCTCATTTTATCTACAGGTTTGTAAACAATCTGAAACATTGACTCTGCAGTAGAAAACAGGTTATCAAAATCAGTAGTGTAAGGACACCGGTGTTGACATTATTTAGACAAGTCTTCTGCTCTGCAGAAGATCAGGTGAACTAGGTCAGCCACACGTGTCCACCTGTGCTTCACAGTCTTCATGTATACCTCCAGCTATTCAGTCCATGCATCTGTCCTTTCCCAGCCTGCAGATCCAGTCTCATAGTTCATCTTGGTGGTCTGTATTTGGGTATAACCCATGGAGCTCATCCAGATCCATGCGTGGGGTCTGTACAGAACCACTGTTGGTCACAGAGGCTGTTGGTGCCAGAGCACACAGCAATGCTCCACAGTACATCCCGTCAGCCATGCACAGGTGAGGATTTCCACCTGGCAGGCAATCCAGATACAGTAAAACAATCCAAAACCTAAGAAACAGGTGAAGCAGCACAACACCACCAGTACCTAAGGTCTGATCCTTTGTACAGCCAGCAGTGCTGCCTCACAGAGGTATGAAATGCTGCTCCTGAGGAGCTCTGGCCTAGCGGACCTTCCCCTTGGCTTTCCCTGTGCAGCTCCAGCAGCTGGACCTTTGCCTTTGGTGTTTCCCAGAGAAGAGTGAGCAGACGTCCCTGGTTCCTCTGCTCAGCGTGGTACCCAGCAATGGCTCTGTGGTTGTTCTTGTGCTTCAAGAGGGATGTCAGTGATGGCTGGGTTGGGCTTGCCTGTGTCTCAGCTGATTGTGGATCTGGGTGAAGGTTTGGCCATTCCCTGTGGAGGAAAATGGTATCCCAGGCACTTCTGTGGCTGACAGCACGGGAAGCAGCAGTACACTGAGGCCAAGGCCTTACACCGCAGTGTTTCGCTGAGTTTGGTAGCTGAGGGGGGCATGGAAAGGGTCTGGAACACCATGTCTGTCCAAGGTCTCCGAGCCTATTCCTGTTCCTGAGAAAGCTGGAGGATGCCTCAGAGCATGCTCATAAGGAGGTGGCATCTATTGAGGAGAGAGGAAGAACATTATAGCAGATCAGAAATAACCAGGAGATTATCCCACCTCTTCTCACAGAATGGATGAAAAGGCTCACAGCTGCCACCAGCCTGAAATTAAACCCCCGCAGTCCCCCAGCACAGCCGGCTGTGGGCTGGGGAACACCTGGAGATGAGAGCATCAGTCTGGAACACAGCACAAACCTGCCGAGAGACATGTTCTACCCTCACACTCTGTGCCAGGCTCCTGCTCTTCCCTGTTCCCCTTCAAGGACTTGGCAGAAGGCCAGAACAAACTTGACTTTTCTTGAGAGGGCTGTCATTTGCTTTCCCTTGACTAAAGAAAACTTACTGGGATTTACACGTTCCTATAGACCAGGTGTTGTACCCAGGTTTCGGCAGCAAGTCTCACTGCACAGAGAGAGGAACCTCCAGGCCTTGTCACATTTATTTTGGCAGAGCTGGGCTAGCTTTCTCCCGACAGGTGACAGGAAGTCGCATGAGGATGTTCCTCAACTACTTGTCTTTGGAGCTGTACTCTCCTGTGCCCTTGCTACCCACGTTTCATAGAATCACAGAATGTCACCTTAAAGATCATCCAGTTCTAACCCCTGCATGGGCAGGGACACCTTCCACTACATCAGGCCGGTACTTTTCAGGCAGGTGTCATTAGATATAGCTCCAAACACTGAGTGGCAAGGGCTGACTATGCCAGGCTTTATGGTACAGCTTTAAGAGCTTAAAACCCAGGTACATCGGTGAACTTTTAATGCTTTGCTCAGGGTTTCAAATGTTTTTGTTCTGATTTAGACAATGAGATCTCTGAACGGGAGTGTCTCAGGATGCTGCCACAGGATGTACTTGGCAGGATGCACTCACTTTTCCCTGTTCCATTGTGGGAGTGCAAATCTTAAGTATCGTAACAAGCAAAGCCTCTTGCTCATAAATAAGCCATAAACATTTCAAGGTAATAGCAAGGGGTCTCCCCAGGAGAATCCTGCAGGGAGAAGGAAGCAAGAACCCATGAAAGCCTTAGAAATCCAAAAATAACACTCCCAGCCTGGTCTTGTATGGAGCAGGTGATCTGAAGAGCCTGCTGGCTCCCCCTCCCTGGGGCTCTGCCGTGCCTCCTGGTACAGGCATTTCTGCAAATCCACTGGGGGAGGGGAGATAGATCATTAACCAGCACAGATGTACACCAAAGGAGCCTCCGGATACACTTTGTGCTGTCCCAGAGATAAAAGCTATCGGGGAAGGCAATCACAGAGCACAGAGTCCTCAGCTACCACTAACTGCTGAAGTAAGACACAGATACAGACCACAGTGCCACTGCCACAGACTGCCACGTGCCAGTCCCCCACAGCAGGGAGGAGAGCTCACCTCCTGGGATGGCTCAGCCCACAGCCCAAACCTGTCAGCAATCATCTGATGGATTTCCCGCTGGCGATCTTTCTTCCGCACGCTCTCGTAGCTGGGCAGGCGGGGCTGCTCCCAGGATGGGAGCTGGTACGTGCTTGGGGGTCCGACACAGAAGAGCTCGTCTCCCTAGAAATGCCCATCCCCAGAAAAGCGTCAGTGTGATGGTGGCTCTTAGCACTAGCACTTCACGCCCTGGTGCAACCTTGACTTAATTCAGGGTTCAAAGTTGCAGGTAGCTGTCGGCTCCTCTGAACACCCAGAGAGGATATTCCCCTTCCCAGGAGACAATTGTGCCACGACCTCCACTGCAGGATCCCAAGCCCCCAGGATTTACCAGTGGCACATCATGCCCAAACACCTCAGAGCACTGTGGTGTCCTCTCCTCTGCAATATTCTTTCCCTCCACCGCCTACCCCCAGGGTTTTCACATATTGGCACCACTTCCAAAGTTGTGGGATAGCACCAGAAGATGCGGCCCAGCACCTTTTGTCCCAGGCAAACCCCATAACCAGAGTCTCTTTCCAAGCTCATGAGCACCTTTGCCATCATTCCCGCCCAGCTCCCAGCAGGGACCCTGCCATCACCTGCATGCCGGGATTCTCAGCAGTGCTGTCCAGCCGTGAGGCTCCACGCTGGGGTCCCACCAGCTGCTGGCTGCTGCTGAAGTAGGGCGGAGGGCGGTCCTGGAATGAGGAGCACATGAGCAAAGCCAAAATCCCTCACATCCTTCCTGGCAGAGAGCAGAGCTCAACCAGCTCTCAGGACAGCAGGACCCTGGCAGAAGAAGAGCTGCTCCCTCTGCCCTTGTGGCTCCTGCAGCTCTCACTGCTGGCAGCGGCCCCTGCCTGTTCAGTGACACCAACAGCTCCAGGACATCCTCCCTGGCAGGGCAGGTCTGCTCCAAGGGCTGGAGCCAGCTGGAGCAGAGCACAGCCAGAGGGACGGTCTGGACCCCAAGGCAGGATTTTGTTGAAAATCAGAAGAATCGTCTCTTTTTGGGGGACAACAAAAAACAACCCAACTATTCTGCTGGTGTAGATAAGAGCTCCATCACGTGCTCAGGGTTACAGAATTTGTAAGCTCTTATCTACTGAGGTTGCCATTTCAGGATAATGCAGCAAGCAAATCTGCAGGGCAATAGCTGTGCTGTTCCCAACCTGTCTCACTCCAGTTAAACTGGATTCCCTGTCAAGGTGTTGAGCAACAGTGAGCAGAAATCCTGTTCACAGAGAACAGCTCCTCGAGCCAGAGCCAGGACTTGAGCCACGGCTGTACCTTGCTCTCGGAAAACCCCATCTCTGCCAGCAGAAACCAGCCCAGAAACTTCCAGGGCAACCACGGATACACAGGGAGGACTGTGAGGATTTACTTTTGCTCTTAACAACCAAGGAACTGTTTGTCTTGGCCCTACAGCACAACTACAGAAGCTGTAGGAAAACAGCACCCAACTATTGATTCAATAAAAGATGAGCAAAATCAGTACAACTATGCCTACCCAAAAGCTGCCTCACATATTACAACTGCATCACTTTTTCTGAAGGAAATACATTATATATATGTTCCCTTTCCATACATAATTCTTTGCATCCATCCTTCCACACAGCGCTTTGCTAAAGGCAAGATACCCACTTGAAGTTTCCACCTCAGAGCTCAGGGAGCATCCCACACTGCCTCAGGGAGGAGCTCCACAGGGCAAGGGAGCACAGCAGCGTGTGCCATGGCAGGCAACAGGAGGGAAGACAGGAAAAGGAGTGGAGACAGTCAGACAAGGGCACCATCAGTGCAGCCTGTTTCCACTGGGATTTCTGCTGGGGACTTCCCAGCCTGTGCTGGACTATTAAATTTGCCTTTCACAGCACTAGTCTCTCCACCCCTTGCTAGCGAGACTGAATGTCCACTCTTCTCCAAGGGACTGCAAAGTGATATCTGCCCTCAAGAGCCATCCTTGTAGCTCTGGAGGCTGAGCTTTCCCCAGGCAGTCACTGCCACAAAAGCAACACTGGCTACACACGCTGCTCTTTTTCCATCAACTTCCCTAGTTGAAAGCCAGCCCCA